TTTGAAAAGTGGGCGGGGCTTATTCAAAGTGGGCGGAGCATCTCACAAAGGGCGGGGCTTCACGCAGCAACCCTAAATTGCAAAAATTTTGAAAAAACATCGAAATTCCGCGAAAGTGCCAAACCCTTTAGAGAATGGGCGGAGTCGGCCATGTGTGAATGCACGGTGGTTTCCAGTCAAAGTGTTTGTGGGAAACAGCAAAAGCAGAAGTTATGAAACAAGATTTGAGAATCTATGTCCGCGCTGACAAGTGGGCGTGGCCGTCGGGGCGGGGCTCGCAGTGATGTCTGGCGTGATCTGGTTGATGAGTTGCCCGCCCTAATAAGTGTGGTTCTTGATGAAGAGTGAGGGTGAATTTGGTTTGAAAAAGGACGAATTTGGTTTGAAAAAGGACGAATTTGGTTTGAAAAAGGGCGAATTTAAAGTGAAAATGGTATATATCAACTTCAAGCTCCACACAGCTGAAGAGAACAACGGAGCTTGTTGGACTGAAGCTCTTTGGTAGCAAAAAGAATATAGAAAGAAGGCTATAGGACACATACAGACCAGTTTACAAACCACTAACCCTCCTTTTCGGTAACAAACAGGTCCTGGGTGAGCACCAACGCTTTCTGGACCAACCACAAAGATCCCATTGTCGAAGAATAGTCTGGATCCGCCGCCAGCTGCAACGGTATTGATGTCCAACTGTAATATCTCCACTTTTTCAGAATTTCGAACCACTAGCAAATTTTAAGAAAGTAATCAATGTAAAGTGCACCCGAATGCCTCACCGTTTTACTGTCAAGTGAGAATTCAGCACGAAAACTCTAGTGAGCCTTTTTTTGCCTTTACGCGCATAAAGATGCAGAAGCTGCTGTGTAACTCAAATTTTGGAACAACTCCAATAGCCTTCATAACCAGCATTAGAAATGCTCAGTAATCTTCCACTAATACTATTCTTTGGCGCTCTCTCAAACATATTTACTTCACGGTAGTCTCTAATTTTCTACTCTTTGACTTTCTGATTTTTCTTTTACAACAGCACCCAATCAACAACGCAAGGGTGAACCCGAGGTTAATGACTCGTCTCCAGTCAAACCGTTGGCTACAGCCAACTCATAATTTCCAGCCGGTGCTGGGGCAAGTTACAAAAAACACGTCGATTTGTAGAACCTCAACTTCGCTGACCGCAGCGGTCGTATTAGTAAGGGAACGCCTGTCAAGTAATTTTCAAACATCAGTCTGGCCCCAGTTTGAGCAGGTCCCCACTTTTTTGGAGCCCTGTCAGCTAAAAATTATACTTGCTCCTTCTAGCCTGGTTGTGGACGACTTCGCAGTTGAATCGGACAGTCGTTGCACTGGGCACCGCAAAGAAGGAATGCCTCACTCAGACCTTTCATATTTTTTCAGTTTTTTTTTCATTTTTCTGCCATCCGTGGATTTAAGACCATCATAAACTATTTTCTAAGGATGTCAGGAGTGTTTTGAAACGGTACTGTAGCCTAATTCAGGAACGCAGCATACATTTTGGCCCTCGCCGTCAGTTCTCAGCACGGTGTTTTTTAGGCAAGGACCAATATCAGACCACCGACAACACTCACAAGTAAACGGACACACCACACGTCATTTCAAGCATATGGGATAGAAGGGAGGCAATCCCCTGCTCGACAAACCTGTGGCGCTTGGATCGTAACACCAGCAGTTGTCGTCTCCATAACGTGTTCTAATGCTCCAGAATAGCGAGAAACCTAAAAATAAGAAGATTTTCATTTAACGAAGCATGATATTGCAGCTCCTATGGACGAATCAGAAAACAGCAATCTTTCAATACAAAAGACTTCTGGTCAGGGCTAATGAGTAAATTTCCAGATGAGTCAGTCAGCATGCTTACAAGGTAATAAAATGGTGTTCAGAATGGTTAATTGCTAGACTACTAAACGGTTCAAAAGGTGTCCAAACCAATGAGGAGAGTAAAACGTAAGGCAGAGTTCATACTTCACGACCGAGGCAATTCAGCGCACGATTTGAGAATTGGCTGCGACCGACCACGCTCCACCGCTGAGTTGAACTACTAAAACTGCTACTTTAATCGCATTAGTTATGAATCGTCCCTCAGCTGTTGCAGATTAGCGATGGAGCGCAGTCGGTTACAATCGCGGAACTGAATCGCTCGAGTCGCAGAGTATGAACACCGATTAGAGAGTTTGTCGCATAGCACTTACATCAGTCGAGGTACCTCCCATATCAAATCCAATCACTGGACTTTTTGTTGTTTTATCATAAGCAGTGAGAGCCACACCGATGACCCCACCAGCTGGACCTGATAGAATTGCTTTCGAGCCGAAGAAACTGCAATTAAATTATGGACTGGTCAGTTTGTACAGTTGTTATCAATTCGGCGATTGAGAACTGTCAGCTCACTTTTTAACATTGCAAAGGCCACCATCAGATTGCATGAAAGTCAACTCTCACACTCTTAAGCCCATCAGCAAAGCCAGACTCGAAACCATCGATGTATTCTCTGATCTTCGGTGTCAGGTATGCATCAGCACACACTACAAATTCAACATTAAATGTGACACACAGCTCTAAGGTAAACACCAGGGTGAGCACAGTGAATAAACAGACAGAAAAGATAACGACAGCGACAAGCATAACGCCTTATAGCGTGAAACGACTTCAGCGCCTTCAGGAAATACCATAACTGAGTGAAAGGTCTGGGAGGTACAAATCTCCTTCTACCTATATTTTTTTATTCTCTCATTGTTATTACTTAATTTAAAGACATTCTCGCGTTCAAGTATTTGGGCATAATCACAAACCAGTAGCCGATAGCTGACACTCGTACAGAAGGAAGGAAAAAATGAGAATCCCTAAACAAAGATCCTTCCCTGTAAATTACATGGGTTCACTGGACGTTCTTTGGCAAACTGCTGGCAGCAACTTGCTGGCAAATTGGCACCTTGCGACCTCTGTGCAACCCCTGGCTCACAAATCGTTTCCGCATTTTCCAGTACTAAATGCCATTTAATAGGAGAAAAAATACCAAAGAAAGAAAAACAGAAAACAGTGTAAGAGAAAATAGCTTTCGAGAATTCTGTGATGAATTAAGGACTAGCAATACACTACGAGTTTTTGCACCAACGCGATTGCATCCTTGCTGAATTTAAGGACCTCATGATATCTGCCAACCATGACGACTCCTTTCTCCTAATTTCTCCTTCCTTTTTCCTCCCCTTTCCTTCTCTTTTCCCTCTTCCTCATTTTCCTCTCTGAATGCTCAAGCGAAAGGAACGGTGGGGAAATACATCTGAACCCTGTCAGCGAGAGACAGGGTACAGCACTGGATG